TAGGTGTGGATCCAAAACAACACATCTGGCAGATGGGCAGAGTTGACACTGAAATGAGACTGGCTTGTATTAACAATAGAATATGACCAAAGTGAAGTTGTGTGACTTCCAGGGCTGGATCATAAAACCTATTCCTACTTTTGTCTTAAGTCTTTTGGACTGCTTCCCTAGGGAAAAATCAGTGTTCGTGTTTTGCAGACACTCATACAACTCTGTAGAGAGGCCTTTCTGGAGGGGGAACCCACCTGTGTGTGAACCATGAGCGAGCCATGTATGAGCTATGTATGAAGTGGATCCACCAGCCCCAGACAACCTGGGGAGTACAGATGACTGCGACTCATGAATGTCCTTCAGCCTGAACCATTAGCCAAGAAGCTCCTGAGTTCCTGACCAGTCACAATTGCTAAAGAAAATGAATGCTTAATGCTGTTTGTTACTAAACTTTAGGGTGATTTGTAATGCAAAAAGAGGTAGTTAATGTAGCACAAACCAACCCCTGTGTTCCACATCCAGCCTAACCAGTATGTATGTCCTTTGGACATTCATTCTACTATAACCAAGTCAGTTTCCTTATTTATCAGATGAGTATTTGTAGAAACTAAAAAATATCTTAAAAGTTTAGCTTTTTAAGCCTCCTCTCTTCATTTGAGATCTGAATATCATATCCTTCATTTGAGGACAGCCTGTTTTGCAAGGTTCAGGCAAGGATCAATTTGTAGCTAGTACTTGAACTTCAGTAAGCCTCAAAACCTTTACTTTGCTTGTCCTTTCATTCCATCCATTGCTGTTGCAGTTACCTTGGACATTTCTCAATAACACTTTAGACCTTGGAGGAAAAAGAGTATATATCTCTTCACCCTACTCAAGCTGTCTTTACAGTTACTTAAGAAAGGTCCTTCATTCAACCAACGAGTCTTGAACTGAGTTACATTAAGAAGCTGAAAATAAAAGACTTCCCTACTACTGATGATAGCTAGCATTTCTTGTGCATATAGTATGTTATAACATGTGCTCAGTGTTGTGGTAGTTCGTCATTCAAATACCATGGAGAGAATACCTGAACTCATATAAAGTTTAATTAATTTGCTATGGTAAGAAGGAAAATGCACCTGGGAATGCTTTTATGTGAGTGAGTTGGGAGGGGCTTTTATAAAATTTGGACATATGCTGAGTGATGATAGGATATTAAAAGGGAAAGAGAGACTTGTTTTGGAATGGATGTTATCAAGAAGCAATGGTAGTTCAGCAATTAGGCATCTCAATTTTTGTTCTGGAGACAAGAAACCAAGAATGGGATTGGATATGATGATGAAAGTAGCAATCACTCAGAAGGAAGTGGTAGTCATTTTGTAGCAATAGTGTGGTCTGTGGTATATAGTATGTTAGAAATATTGTCTTGATATTATTATTATTATTATTATTATTATTATTGCTGCTATCAGGGCTTATTTTCACTCTCTTGGTGTATTTTCTTAATCTTTATAATAACCCCATGGTGGTAATACTATAATTATCTCAACTTTACAGTTGAGAAAATGGGCAAGGATACATTACATAACTTAGATAAGGTCATGCAGATAGTGGTAGAGCCAAGATTTAAATATTGGTAGTGTGATAATAGAACTTGTGCTCTAGACATTTTATTTGTTTCTATATAACTAATATATTGCCACCTTTGCCTTGAAACTTCTAAGGGGAAAGAGGAAAATTGGTCAGTTAATATATCACACATAGTGATCCATGAAGATTGATGAGGCAGCCATTTAGTATAACATTTGACCCTAGTGCCAAATCTCTCCTAAGTCCAGAATGGTGACCTTGAAGAAATAAAACTCAAAACAAACTATGATTTTTCTGCTGTCATGCAGTGTGTGTCTACTGATTGCCACCTACGGGTCAATTAGTATGCTGTTAATTGACAAGTACTAGGCCTAGTTGCTGAAGGACCCAGTCTAAGCTTCCCTAGAACATACAGGTACTGATCTGGAGCTTCCTGTCATTTCTAATGTTATACTTCAGAAATTGCCTTAGACCTTGGGGCTACCTTGTCTCTCTAGGACTTCAGTTTCTCAATGGAATTATGTTAGTTAAGTTTCTATTGCTGTGACTCATTTATAGGATAAGAACAACTTACAGGAGAAAAATTCATTTTAGGCTCACAGTTTCAGAAGTTCAGTCTATGGTTGGCTGACTCCATTGCTCTGGGCTTCAGCTGAGGTGGAACATCATAGCAGAAGAGCATGAGAGAGGAAAGCTGTTCAGCTACGGAAGCCAGGAAGCAGAGAGAGCAAGGCATCAGGGACGTAATATAAAACCCAAAGGAATGCCCCTGTGACCTCCTTCCTCCAGCCACACCCCACTTGCCTATGGTTACCACCTGGTAATTCATTTCAATTATTAATACATCAGTGGATTAATCCACTGGTTAGGTTACAGCTCTCTCCATCAAATTGTTTCACCTCTGAACATTCCTGCATTGTCTAACATGAGTTTTTTTTTTTTTTCAGGGCACCTCACATCCAAACCATGACAGGACCAATGATAACTTACACAGTCTCTTTTTAGCACACAGCTCTGTAATTCTTACTCCACTAACTCAGATTGAAAGTTAATATAATAATGCCCCTCCTAATTAAATGAAACATTATGAATGCTTTCATTTCTGAGTTACTGAAGTGATGTGCAACCAAAGAGAATCAGAATAGAAGGAGTACATTTCAAATCAAGGGATCATTAGAAATCTTTTTCAACATGTGCCTGCCACTTGGCTCTCCTGTTAATTCTTACAACGTTAGTGATATTTCCTGTATGGTTGACTTATTGTAGAATAATAAAATTTTCATTATTGGATAATTTACACCTTAGTATTAATTTATGCTGTCCCCTGTTTCATAACATCCCTTATACTTTAAATTTTAAAATCTTAAACAAGTTTGGACTTTTAATTAAATATTCCATGGCCTTCTTCCATTTTCCCACAGTTGTAGAAATTTAGCATATTTTTTAACTAGTAGAGATGTTAAGAAGTGAGTCAAGTATCCAACGGTGCAATAAATAAAATGCACTTTCACAAACTTTGAGATTCCATTGCTGGCTAGAATAGAAAGCCTGAGAGACCATATTATACCATCCACAAATACTCATTCAGTAAGAAAATGACTGTTTCCTCAATTTCTTCCAGCAAGACCAGGTCAGAATTTGTAACTTCAATATATGGCTTTTAAAAAATACAATTTTTTTTTAGTTTAAAACTTCTGGATCAAGACAAAGACTTTAGGGTTAAAGAGATTACCAGAAAGGAAATTCTTCTGTCTGGGGGGAAAAAAAGAGGAGTGTGGTCATGTAGTGATGTGGATTTAAAGTTCCTCAGCATTGCGTCCTCCTCTGTTGTATTCAGCATGGTTTTGAAACTCAATGTACGTACGATACAGAGCATATCTTTAAATTTCTTTGATGGCTAAACAAAAATGTTAGCAACAGACAATGGAGTATCACAGGCCAGGGGACCAAATGCTTTAAGTCAAGTACATCTTCTTCCTGGCCTTCCTCCTAAAGCCAGTGTTGTTTTGACTGTGCAGAATGGCTCTAGACCAGTGAGTATTATGGTTACCTGGAACCAGAGTTAGGGTGTCTCCTCTGAGTTTAGCAGATAAAGAGTCTGGAGAAAATCCTAGAGACTAGCTATTGTGAATTGTGCTGCTATAATCATTTGGGATTTTAAATCCACTTGGAGGAGGTCTAGGGGTTCTCAGAAGAATGATAAATATCGAGCACTTAACATTGCTTTTGCTAAGTAACAGAGAATATTCTAAAAGCTTTCCAAATATTAACTCATCTCACTTAATCCTCCTCCATAAGGTGGGTACTATTATTATCATCCTCCTTTTACAGATGTATAAACTGAGGCACCAAGAAGACAAGCAGCTCATCTAAGGTTACAAACCTTAAATTTGTTAGGTAAAATCAGAAGTTTAACCCAGGCAGGCTGAATACAGAATCTAAGAACTTAACCACTTTGCTATACCAACTTTTTGTTTAGAAAAGAGAGTTACATGGTATAACATTGGAATACACAGTTTGGCATCCAGATGTTGCCCCAGACAAGCAAGAGTTTAGGTCGTGATGCTAAGTATAAATCTTCAAGGATCTGATCAGCCAAGATCAGAATCTTTTCTTTTCCTCTTTCTTTCTTTTGACAGTGGAATGCATTACATTTCTTGTTACACATATAGAGTGCAGTTTTTCATATCTCTGATTGTATACACAGTATATATCCACACCAATTCGTGTCTTCATACCTGTACTTTGGATAATAATGATCATCACATTCCACCATCATTAATAACCCCATGCTCCTCCCTTCCCCTCCCACCCCCCTGCCCTATCTAGAGTTAAAGTCTATTCTCCCATTCCCTATCACACTACAAATCACCTCCTTATATCAAAGAAAATATTCAGCATTTGGTTTTTTGGGATTGGCTAACTTCACTTAGCATTCTCTTCT